TCCATCCAGAGTGTAATTATCGCATCATTATATTCGCTATTTCACTTGTCATGTACTATTAGAAGGTAACAAGATCATTGTCAGTCAGAGATTGTGGAGATAATTAGAGCATCCATGGGGTAGCAGGAAATCAAATCGGTGCCGGTCCCCAGCAAGGCCGAGGCGCCCAATGTAATTAAAGGGGAAATATGCAAAGGTTGAGATGAATCAAAGCCCTCGGGGATCAGCCACCATGACTGATTGGAGAGCAGCTCTTCCAGGATCTGACTCTGCAGATGGTGATACTGAAATAGGTGTATGGTTAAGAGGCAGCGAGGTCTGCCAGAAATAGCATGTCAAAGAGTATCTGTGACATCTGTGGTACTGGATTCAGCAAAGCCCGGGATTTGGTTTATTTTCCAACCCACTGCTTTTCTTTCCTTCCCCTCATTGTTGGTTTTTTTTTTTTTTTTTTTTTTTTCCTAATCTGGCAGTTCCTCTGGCTATAAAATGGCGCCTAGTCAAGTGGGATTTCCCTCAACTGTTGCTCTGGCCATTTTAAGTTTTTGTTTTTTTCCCCTGCAATGTACTCTGCCACTGAGATACTTCTCCAGCTTGGTTTATTTTAGATTTATCTTATTTGTGTGGTGGGGGGACAGGCACACAGGTGCACATGTGGGTATATTTGCTCTTGGATGGAGATCAGAGGAGCCTGTTGGATCCCTGGGAGGTGGAGTTACAGGGGGTTGTGACCAAACTTGTAGGAGCATCAGGTGCTCTTAAGCACTAAGCCATCTTTCTCGTCTCCCAAATGAGCTTCTTTAAGCCTGGGAGCTCTCCTTGTGCCCGTCCAGAAATTTTGTCACATGTCCCTAGACTTTTCCAAGAGTGCTGTGGCACCTCAGGAGTCTATATAGCAGAGGTTCTCAACCTATGGGAACCACCTTGGGTGTCACAGGGTTCGCATATCAGATACCCTGCATATCTGATATTTACATTACGATTCATAACAGTAGTAAAATTACAGTTATGAAGCAGCAACGAAATAATTTTATGGTGGGGGGAGCGACATCACATGAGGAACTGTGTTAAAGGGTCTTGGCACTAGGAAGGTTGGGAACCACTGCCATACAATATCTCCGATTTCTGTTCTCTTTTGTGTTCAAAGCTTATCCAGCAGTTACCTCATTCCAACTGACCTTGACTGCTTTATTTTTTCCTCCATTGAGGCACAGACTGTAACCCAAACAGTAAATTCAGCAGTTTTAAAGGAAAAATCAACATTGCATTTATTTTTGTATGTTTGTACATGTGTGCACATATATGTGTGTGGGCACATGTGGGGGTCAGAGGACAACTTTTCGGAGTCAGTTCTCTTGGACTGAAGGGATCTACCATGTGAGGACACAACTCAGGGAGCCCAGTTCAGCAGCAAGTGGCTTTGCCCTGCTCTCCGGCTATCTCTCTAGCCCAATTTTATCAGTCCAAAACATGGAAATTTACCCTGCCCTTCTTTCTTTCAGACACGGTCTCACGTAGGCCAGACTAGCCTTAAGAATGACTTCAAACTGTAAAAACAAACAGGTGTGTGTGTGTGTGTGTGTGTGTGTGTGTGTGAGAGAGAGAGAGAGAGAGAGAGAGAGAGAGAGAGAGAGAGAGAGAGAGAAAAAGACTTGAGTCAATTCTCTCCTGCCACCTCCCAGTGACAAAACTCAGACTGTAGGGCTTGGTGACAAATGCTCTATCCTGCTGAGCCACCTCACTGAATTTCTAATCCTTCTGCCTCCACCTCCCAAATCCTAGGATTACAGGTGTGCACCACATCTAATTTCTCCAGAGCCGGGGGTGGGCCTCAGGGCTTTGTGCACCCACAGTGAAGACTAAACCGAGTTACAACAAGCTCCCTTGGGATGTTCGTTTGATTCAGAACATACAAAATGAAAACATAAACAAATGCATCATCACCAAAGGATGCTGGACTAGCTACTGGTCAATACCTGCTTTGGGAGGGTCACTTGCCAGTGTGAAGAGGACCTTACTTGCATCCTGGGGGATGCAAGGACAGGGATGGGGGTGGGGTGTCTTTTCTAGAACTTGGTCTAGAGTGCTGGCCGCTTCTTTCCTAACTACGAATGGCACCTCACACAAAGAAACTCTGGAAACTTGGGTCACAGTTTTTAATAACATGGCACATTTCCACACAGTTTTTAATAAAAAGGCACATTTACATTACACAAGAAGGCTCCTCCAATGAGACATGCTAAAGATTCCGTTGCTTCCCTTCCTGTTCGAGTAGGATCCGGAAAGGACTTTTTTTTCTTTTTTTTTTTCCTTTTTTTTTACATACAAGAGAAACAGCAAAAAAGGCCTGTACAGAGCGATCCCTTTACAATGCTGAGAGCTACCACTACAGTCCCAGTGCACAGAACCCTTGGGATTTGTTTTTTTAGTTGTTATCTTTAAAAAAACAAAACAAAACAAAAAAGAAAACAAAAAGAAAAGAAAACACTGCACACGTCTGGTGTCCACAAAATCTGAATTCACAACTAAACCTTCAGTTGACTACTAAAATAGATCTCTCCGCTTTTAAAAACAATGGTCTGTAGTTTACATTTTTTTCTTTTTTTGGAAAAAAACAAACAAACAGGATAACAATGTCAGGTAGCACTTTAATATACTAGAGGACCAAATGGGACTAATTTTTATTTCTTACATGTATTTTACAGGCCAGTAGACAAGATATATTGTATTTTCTCGGCTAGTAAAGTCATATTCTCTCCAAATATGTAGACAAGAGGGTTAATGTCTTTATAAAAGTGTCATGAAGACATTAAGACTGGTGAGAACTCAACATACACGCACACATGCCCACATACAGGTTTGCACAAGAGTACACACACGCACGCACGCACGCACTCACTCACGAGCACACACTTCACTCTGCCACCTTTTGCCCTCCTTGCTTCCTGATGGCTGTTACACGATCTACTTGTTCAGCTCTTCCCAGGCTTCCATTTCCTATCGGAGTATCAACGATTCACATTGGGCTCCGTGAACCTTCAATTCGTCAGTTACCATGGAAACATACCCATCCTCGGAGAAAACCCAGACAGGACCTGTGTGAGTGTCCTTAAATCACATTATGGAACAAGGAAGTGTGTACATGCTATGAGATAGGACTCGGGGTAGAGGGTGAGGAAGGCATGGTTCCCACTGGAAGCTGCCCGAAACAGACAAGGCTCACCCGCCCCCTGATTATCAAAGAACAATCCCATCTTCCCTGGGCAAAGCTGCTTCCGGTTCTTAGTTACACTTCAGGAGTGGGGGGGGGTGTACATCTTTCCCCATCTCTCCCCAGAAGACCACAAGCAGCAACTTCAGATGCAAAATTCCAGCCTGGGTTCCAGATTTAAAAAAAAAAAAGACAGGGGTGGAGGGTGTTATCCATTTGAAAAACAAAACCAAACCAGGAAAAAAAAAAAAAAAAAAAAAAAAGGAAAACAGTTGTATAACATCTCAGGTAAGCGCTTGTTCAGGGAAAATATGACCTTAAGTATGTTGTAAATGGATTTGAAAAGGCTCCTTTGAATTATATGGGCTTTGGGGAAAAGCCCTGGTGTTCATTGCATAGTTGAAGGGTTTAGCAGATGGGAACACGGCCTCCTTGGAGGGCCGAGTTCACTGATATTAGACTTGTAAATAGCACATCTGAAGAAGTATTAATGTATTATGTTACTTAATCTTTACCTATTTACATCTGTACAAGTAAAGCTTTCGTCTTTATCTTTTGCATATATGAACCGTCAGCTCATGAAGCAATCTCTCTTTACACTCTATGTACATACATGCCTCCTCCTCCCAGACAGCTCTGGGGGGCAGATAGCTTTCCCCCCACCCCCATTATCATCAGATCCTTGTGTGTCATTACCTTCACCGTTTTGGTTCAAATCAAAGTTTGATGCAAGGAACAACAAAACTCAAAAGTAAGGAAATGTAAGGACAAACAGGACCTGGCTAAAAGGTCTGAAAAATTCCAACATTAATATACAAAAACATTTCACCAGCCATAGGGAGTCTCTGTCCATTTTTTTTTTTCTTCCCC